TTTTCACAACTTTACAGAACAACAATGACCCAGATACTCTTGTCAACTTAATTGTGGTGTCTAATTTAATAGGGAAGCCTACAGAAGTTGTAAATCGATATATCACGTAAGTTCTGTTGATATTCGATATTTTACACTTTTTGACTGTTCTTAAAATTCGATTATAAATTGTTCATTATATAAATCATACATTAATATAGACAACTTAAAGAAGTTGCACCTAGTCATGTATTTTTGCAAGACCTCGACCTTAAAACGAGTTTATTTGATCGTTCGGCGCAGAGATTTGCTCTCGCATAGGGCACCACTAATTTTTCCCAATAATTCTTAAGTAATTCTTAGATTCTTAGATATGTGAGTCTTATAATAAATTCCGTATTTAATAGTCAATTTTCAACGTTCAAGTTGTTACATATAAATATTGTGATCAAAGCTGAAGACTCGTTTAGTGGATTTTAAAATAATAGTTGAAGTGGAATTTCAAAATCGTCTCCTGGCCATAGGGTTGGGTTGGGTGGTTTGAAATTAGTTTCAGATCAAATTAGCTTGGAGTACTAAATTTTAATATAATGTTCCAGTTTAACAATTGGTTTGAATATTCTATTTAATATATTTTATAATTCCCTCCGGTCTGGTTTGGGTTAAACCGAAGTACTCCAGAGGATGATACACTAATTAACAACCCTACTTGGAACACGATGATTTTATAAACTCTCTCGTCCGAATGTGATATATTTGATATTGCTCTGATATAATAAATTGATTTTATTGTTAATTGCTTTTACTCGATCCGGGATTCCAGCGTTTGATTTCGCACGATATAGACTAAGATATGATGAATATACAGCTAGCTCATAGTCAATTGAATATGTTTCGTTTTCTTATTGTTAGATGTAATGAGCAGCAAATAAAGTTAATTATATCGCTCCCATATTTTCAGACTACTGTGTACGATACTCAATATTAATAAACACTCTAATACAAGTTATAATGCAAGCATTTGATCCGTCGAGGATACGTGCAATTTAACGGCAGACTTGCCTTTTTTAAGTGCTATTACTGTATGACACTCGCCTTCAGTAAGATGTTATTATCAAGCGTTTTTTTTTTTTTTTACAGTATAATAATTAGAATAGTTTATACAAAAGCATGTGCCTTTAGTCAATGTACGGAAACATGCAGGTACAAATTTAATTATTAAAAACAATTAATATTTATGGTGATATAGAGATACCATAAATTTGTCTAATGGTCAACTATCAAGGCACATGCTACAGATCCAAGTTGGTATTTAATGTATTCATTATCAACTTCATGTGCTAAAAAGACCCAGCGAGTTAGCATAATGATTTCAATGAGAAACTTCCTTTAATATTAATATTTACCATCCTCGAGTTTTCCCCATCTAATGGTTTGTGATACAGTTTCTATTTGTGCAGCTGTTGAGGCAAATTCCACTGTTAGTTGTCGTTCGACTAGACCGAGTCCTATAAGAAATGATTTTGTGAGCATTGTAGCACGCTCAAAAGCTATTGTAAGGTGTATATGATTTAGTTTTACATGAGCTTTGCATTATCTTTCATAACGTAAAAAAATATATATATATCATTAAAGTTGTGATTTACCGGATAACTTTAAACTATCAAACTCTTCGACTATTTCGCGTAGTTTATTTCTTGTTTCTATTGGTTGCTGTGCACCAACAATTCCATTAGTTACTTTTATTTCTACACCATAAGTTTCTTGAGCCCATTTCACAGTTGGATCCCAGTATTGTTTTTGAAGATCAACTAAAATATCGGGATAAGTTTCTTGATAACTAAAATTTATGTTATCATAGATTTCAGTAGTACAGTAAGATGTGATAATAATATGGTTAATTATTTACCAAACTGTATCGGTATCAAAATATCGAATTAATCTTGTTATTGCCTCTTTTCTGGACAAAGGGTCTTTTTCAAATGCATCAATTGATCTTGCGACAAGGGATGTCTGTAAATTTCATAATTTCAGCACAAAAGACCGTATCTTAATTGATTTACTTTACGATTAATATTTTGATCAATAATTATATTTGTACATGCCAATGGTAATGAATGTTGTTTCAATAAAGTTTTTTGAGACTCCCATTCCCCAGCAATCAATATTGCTAAATATTTATGCGACCGAGGGATAACTAAAGGAGCGCCTCCAGGTGTTTTTAATGGACGTTTATCAAGAGCTATTTGATACACGTCTATAAATTATTGAAAAATGTTAAAATTCGACAAATGCATTAATGTAGAAAAAAAAAAAAAGAGGATAAACCTTTGTTTGATAAAACAGAAACTTCTTTCCAAAATCTACGAAAAGTTTTTTCAGCTTCTAAATTAATTTATGACGAAAATTACTAATTAGAACTAATTAGAATCAAATTGAATTTTAATAATTTACTTTTAGATGATGAAATTTGCTCTTCCGTATTTTCAACTTTCAAAAATCTTTTTTGGATTAAATTTAAAACATTTCGATATGTAGAATACTTTGAGAGCGGGTTGATTTTACGGCAGATCATCTTGAACTAAATTTTGATGCGTAGGTTTGCCATATAAAGAAGAAACGATAAATTGAAATCACGAGCAATTTGAAGAAATTAAATGCACATTGTGCAATAAAAATTTTATGAATCAAAATTTTATTACGATTTTGAAATACGTACAATTAAACACCTTAGTGATTAACGACTCTTACAGTCTAATGAGTCGCTAACGAATATAAAATATATCATCAAATTTTCCAGAAGTGATTTTGACATTGAAAAATAAGATTTCTATCATAAATGCTTTTAGTAAATATACTTGTTAGCGGTTTATTATACGTCTACTATAGGTAACTATTAAAATTTCAGGAACACAATCTATCGTCATGTTTTGATACGCTAAGTATTCAGTGAAATACGGACTCTGGATGGTTTATATAGCAAAACACAGTATATGCTTAAGATCGTTAAGTGTGCGTCAGAAAGATTAACATTAGTTTTTGTGTTAGCGTGACTAAAATTGCTCTAAACTTTATTAAACTTATTAAATACACATTCTATAATCCACATCTCTATACTTCATCATAAACAGTTTCGTAATACCCACCATTTTCCACATTATCTTTAATAAAATTTCTTATGCGATCAGTTATACACAACTCCAGAGAAGTCTCTTGGAACACTTCAGAATAACCAGTTTGTATAAAATTAAATTTTTTAGTAAACAATGTAATGGATGCATGATTTTTTATGGATATTTTTGCTGTAAATTTTGAGATTTTTAGGTGATTGATTGCGTAATTAAACATTAGGAACAATGAATTCGTAGCGAGACCTGATCTGTAATGTGCTTTTTCTGTTATGTACCATAAATAGCA